GGTTATATTTCACACTGTTCTTTGATTTTTCAGGGTTTTAAGGCAACTTGGTGGTCATTTTTATTTATTTATTTATGGAACAAGACTTGTTTCATATGTTAAATTTCCAGTAAGCTTGCTCCCATAAAATAGTGTGTGGCTTGAAATTATATTGGGTGTTCTGGGCTTGTTGGGTTATTTTTTTCCTAATTACAAAGCAAATGTGTAGCAGTATGAAACACAGTGGATGTGATCCATCTCTCTGTAGCTGCTAGAGGGCAGCAGTATCCATTTAAAAACACCATTAACAATTTCTTGGGCTACTAAACCCTCTCCTGCTGCTGTGCTCCAGCAGCTTTGGTCACTGAAGCTTTCTCAGGTCTTAGGTGATGTCTGGTCTGCTTGCACTCATTACTTTTTGGTTTGGAAGAAAATAGAAATAAAATAGATATTATGCAAAGGAGTTCCAGGGAGCATCACTGCTGAGATCAATGTTCTTTCTCTGATGGGAAAACAGGCTTAACTGATGGAATGATTCTTTAAGAGGCCATTCTTTCTTTTTACTCTTATTTGGTTTGTTTTAGGCTGAGAAGTAGATTATTTTGGGGGTTTGTGTATAGTTTCCTTATATATTTTACTGTGTGAGAACCTTCTTGTCATTGCATAATATTCAAATTAACCTCAAGGCATCACACTTTGCCTTTCCCACCAGAGTAGCAGCTTTTTGGGGCAAAATTCTTGACTTCAGGAATAATCCATTCACCCACCCCACTGACATTACTACAGCTGATGTGACCAAGATCATAGAATCATAGAATCAACCGGATTGCAAAAGACCTCAAAGAACATCCAGTCCAACCCTACCATAGTTACTAGACCATGGCACTGAGTGCCCCATCCAGTCTTGTCTTGAAAACCTCCAAGGATGGTGAATCCACCACCTCCCCGGGCAGCACATTCCAATGCCTGAGCACTCTCTCCCTAACAAATTTCTTCCTAATATCCAACCTAAACCTCCCCTGGCAGAGCTTGAGTCTGTGCCCTCTTGTCCTACTGCTGGTTCCCTGAGAGAAGAGACCAACCCCTACAACCTCCTTTCAGGGAGTTGTAGAGGGTGATAAGGTCTCCCCTGAGCCTCCTCTTCTCCAGGCTGAACAACCCCAGCTCCCTCAGCTCATGTGCTCGAGTCCCTTCACCAGCCTCGTTGCTCTTCTCTGGACCTGTTCCAGCACCTCAATATCCTTCCTGAACTGAGGGGCCCAGAACTGAGCACAGGATTCAAGGTGTGGCCTCACCAGCACTGAGCAGCTTCAGACCTTGCATTCAGAAGAGCCTGAGTGCACGTGCTGAGTTGTTGATTCAGTTGCCTTCACTAGGAAATGGCTGCTAAAAAGCGTTTCTTTTATTTTTAAATGGTCTGGCTTTAGAAAATTATTCATTTCTGTCGCCTTTCAAAGAAGATTATAAACAAAAATCCCTTTTTAGACTGGTTCATCTTTAAAATCACTAGGCGTTTTTCAAAAAAAGTTGTGTTTTCTGCCTAGATTGTAGATTGTCTCTAATAAATGGCTTTTAATAGATCCAGACATCTTTCTGAGCTTGAATCCAGAAGGCTTCAAGCCTTGAATTCAAATGCAGTTAATAATTCACAGTCTGTGCTGTTCATCCTATCAGGAGACGCTTGTCCACCTGGCTTATTTCTCACTCCCTGTCTCCTTTTTAACCTGTTTTGATCACCTGGATGCAGTCTGGTGTGTCGTAAAGAAAACCAGAAACAGATCCAAAGACACGGGGAGCTTCGTCAACATCTCAGGAGCAACATGGGGGCAACCTTGAATGCCCACAAAGGGGCTGTGATGCCATATCCATCCCCAGTATTTCTCTCCTGGCCATCCAGGCTCACCCCAGTGAACACCCTCGAGCTCTTTCTGCACCAGCTCCCGCCGCGGGGTGACAGTCCAGCTGTTTGCTGGCACGGAGGTGTCATCCCGTCATTTGTATGATCCGGAGCCACGCTCCCATGCCGACCCTTTCCCTGCCTGCCTAGTTGAGATGTTACCCCTCTGACAGCCAGACAGGCGAGCGCCGCCGAACCCTCCACCCCTCCACAATTATTTTCCCTAACAATTAACACCAGCACTAACTTGACACCTTTTCCTTGTTTGGCTTTTGTAAACCACCATCCCTTTTTCTATTAATTCCCGGCATTAATATTTTCTTTCGCGCAAGTGCTGCCGCTCACCCGTGAAACAGTTTGAACATTATGTAGCTGTCAAGATAGCGAGGGATTACCCAGGGTACCTTGCTGGAGTAAGTGACACCACTGAGGCCCTGCTTTGAGATGTTTATTTTGAGAGTAAGCTGACAAGCATGAAGGCCTGATCCCAGAGTGGCAATCTTATTTAATTAAAGGCCTCTTTTTATTATAGCTTTCCTTCCCCCCCCCACTGTTTTTTGTATGCAATATATATTTTTAGATAAATATATATTTAGATAAATGCCTATTCCTTTTTATATACGTATATGTGTTTCTGTGTATAAATATACATGAAGAGAAAGGAAGAATTCATTAAAAAATAAGTATATGGGAATGATTGCTAAAGCTTGGCTCACGTGAGCAATGCTGGGCAGCCCTTCCCCC